AACATGCAATAAAGCAGCACATGTACATCACCAAATTTTATGTTAGTGCCTAACAGTGGGGTATTCTTTAAGCATTTTGTAACTCTATGGCATGACAGATGATAGGAACAGGAATGTTACCTGTTGTAAGTCTAACAGCATGACAGAACTTGAGGGATCTTAATGCAGTTTAATTAAGATTAGTAACATTTTAAATTTTCTTTTTTTTTTTAATTTAAATCCTGAAGTGTTATGAAAGTCACAAAAAAAGCTTCAGATTCTTCCAAAAACAGTTTTCTAGCGCCACCTGCTGGTTTAGTATTGTTATAAGATGAAAATATTTATTTCTCGAGATTGAGCATGGGATAAAAAATCTTTGTGGGTAAAATTGTTTCTTTGGTGTCATTTACATTGTCATTAAAAATTATGATGTTTGACTAAGTAGTATTTTGATAATGATAACATTAAGTTTTCTTATTATTTTCTCCTATAAATAGTATCATTCCACTCTGGACCTCTACAGCAAATAATATTGATTAGATTGTCTCTTGTAATACTGCAAGTTCTTTTCCCTCCTGCCTTTTCTGACCATTTTATATCACACTTTGCACAAAATCTTACAGAATAGAGATTCAGTAGTTGTAGATTAGTTATTTTATATTGTTTGCATGGTATAAATAGAAAAGTACATATACATAAGTTTATTTTTATGTACACATGAAAATAAACATGAGGTTTTATATTAGAAGGTGATTTTACTAAGCAAGAGATTTTCATTTTTCTGTAGAAGAGTTTTTGTCATTACAAGTTCTGGAGGAATAAAATACTGGCTCATTAGAAAAGTCATGACACAGCTTTGCATAGCAAAGCATAGAAAAATGCATCATGACTTTCCAATGATCCAATATATTTAGTCCTTGGATGTTTTCTTTATAATTATTTTCCCAGCTGATTGTATTTAGTGTCATGGATTTTAGTACTACATAAAAACCAGTCAGGGGCTGGCCGCATAGTGCAGCGGGTAATGGTATCGAGGGGCTCTGCGTGGTCAGCTGTGGTTTGTGTCCTGGGCGACTTGAAAAAGCACACTGGCTGCCTGTGTGTGCATGCCCCAAATCCCAACAGGATGCAGCGGTGTGTCCATGCCCCATGGTGGGGTCACCACCTCACCCCACAAGCATTTACATCCATGCTCTCCGGCAGTAAAAAATAAAATAAAATAATGGATTTAATATTTTTTTTTTAAATCAGAACCTTGCCTTGACCCCCAGACCTGTGTAGCTAGCTGCTGGTTTCCTTAACCTTTCTAATTAATTAGTATGTTGATCTCAAACCTAACATGTCCAAAACAAAACTTTTGATTTCTCTCTGAATCTGTTCCCCACCCCTAGTGTTCTTTACTTCAGCAAATGGCGCTCATAGTATCCTTGACTTTAGAAGAAAAATCCTTTTCTTTGCTTAAGCAAACAAAAATATTTTAATAATTTGTGAATCCTCTTTTTCATCCCACGTTTAAACCATAAAGAAATTCTGCCAGCTCTATTTTTGAAATACATGCAAAATCTTCCTGTTCTCTCCAGCCCTGCCGCTGTGATCTGGATGCCACCATCACCTCTCTTCCCCATCTGTCACCTTCCTTCTAACCTTGCCTCTGTAGTCCGTTTTCATCCAGCAGCCAGAGTGATCTCTTAACACTTAAGACAGAGCTTGTCCCTTCTCTGCTGAGAGCACCTCGAGGTCTTTACCATGCCTAGGACCCTCTGCTCTCCCACCATCCTCCCCTCTCCCACCATCCTTCCCTCTTCCACCATCCTCCCCTCTCCCACAATCCTCCTCTCTTCCACCAACCTCCCCTCTCCATCATCCCACCTGACTTCATTTCCTGTCACCTTGTCCCTCCTTTATCACACTTTAGCTACTAGAGCCTGTTTCTCCTTGAATGCCAGGAGTCTCTTGTTCTGGGCTTTGAACTTGCTGTTGCATCTAATGGAAGTGCTTGTCTCTCAATTCATAGAGGTTTCTGACCAGCTTTACTGAATGTTACCTTCTCAGAGTGACCCTTCTGGACCACACTGTAGAATAATAAGCCTGACTCCATCACTGCTTCTCCCCTTGTCCTGTGGTTTCTTTGCCATAGCAGTTATTGCCATATGACGTATTTACTTTTTTATTATAATTCCCCCTTACTAGAATTCCAGCTGAAAGCAGGGATTCCCTGTTGTCCACTGTTATATCCTTAGATCGTAAACCAGTACTTACGTATAGCAGGTACTTAGTTCTCATTTGTTGAGTAAATCGGTCAGCCTTAATATTAAATGGATAATATGGTTTGATTTACATTTAAATAACTGCATCTGTAGAATAGAGAAACTCTATTAGGGTCTGTTTGTTTAAATCTTTATGTTTATATCAGACTTTCTACATTTAACACACATTATAATAGCGTTTTTTAGTTACCTTAGCACAGACAGTATTCTTGGTGTCAAAATTCGGGGCCATATTGATATTTTAAAGATTCTTTTTATGGAAATAATTACTTTTTTGTTCTTGACTTAGACATCTGACCCTCAATTACATTAACAAACCTTATACACATGAATGGAAAGAAGAATAGGCCCTTTGAATCCATGCTAAGACTTTATCAATATGAAGTGCTTCCCACAGGGTTTTACTGGAAGAACCGAACTTCCATCATAATGCAATTGCAAATTCATTTGTGTATGCTCCTTTTATATTTGAAGCTACTTTTTGATGTTTTGGTCTGCAATTAAATTTTTTTTGTTTAAGGTCACAAATACGCAATTCTGGCTAGACCCAGTTGTCAGAATCCTTTATCTACCCAGCTCCCCAAAAATAAATGGCTATCTTTTAACAGTAACATACCAAGGCCAAAACTGGTTCCCAGATGTACATAATCTTTTAATCTACTGCTTTCTGTTTTACAGTCAGTAGACCCCAGCCCACTCCACCCTACCTATCTAGTTTACTAGTTTAAAATTACTGTGACACACTTTCTTTAGATGAAAAAAATAAGTTTAAGAATTTTAATGCTATAATTACCCTATGCATGTTTTTAGCCTAACATATGAATTCTTTTGCCTTTACCCCCATTCTGTATAGGAAAGTTGATCATGTAGCCTATTTACTAAATCCCGTGATTATATTTCTTACCGGTAGTATGACCACAAAGTTCATTGTGTTGCCTAATGAGTTAGTAAGTGTTTTAAAACATCTCTGTGCACATGAGTTAACAATCTTTCTGTTGGGCCAACAGATGGCGTGGAAGTTGCCTGAATCCTATATAGCTAAGTGTGTGGTTCGAGGCCTGGACCTGGCGGCTTGAAAAACAAGCCAGGCACATATATGCATGTGTCCACCCCTGCACCCCCCCCCCCCCAAAAAAAAGAAAACCAACAACAAAATAACCTCTTTTTGGAGATTCTATACATCTCCAACAATTATGTGCATATTAGGTCATCTGGAAAGTCATGACATATTTTTCAGTGTCTTTCTATGCAAAAAAAATTCATCATGACTTTCCCAACAACATAGTATTTTAAATTAAGATAGATTTATTATACTTTTGTATATTTCCTTTTTGATCTTTTATACAAAAATCATACTGAAAGAATTGCTCGAATATATTTAAGGTTATACTTTTTTAAAGAAAGTTTTAATTATTTTTCCACTTGTGTGTGTGAGAGAGAAATAGCAGAAGAGAGAGCATGTGAGCACCCTCAGTGGGCTCTTGATACAGTGCTTTCTCCCTTAACCCCCAGCGTTAGCCAGCTGCAGCTATCATAGGCACCATGCGTGCCTGGCGTACTCAGGAAGGTCTTGGGACTCCAACTGGGAGCGTTCCTCTATGGGTCAGCTTCACGGAACATCGCATGTTTATTGCTGTACTGTTGTCTGTCCTCTTAAGTTGTCGTTTTATCCAAGGATATCCTGTGTCTCTATTAACATATATCAGGACAGCATTGTATCACCAACCTTTATAGATTTCCTCAAGGGATTTTGATAATAAATACTCAAGAGACCCTTTATGTAAGGTGACCGTACCTACGAAGAAGAATATAGACATGGGACAGCAGCAGTATAATGAAAGACTGTTATAATGTCCCTATTTAAAATCTTTTAAAAATATTTTTTGCAGGTTTGCCAATCTTTTTAGGTTCCATTGTCATTTGAGCCTTCCCCAATTAAAGAGAACAATTGTTCCAGGAGGCTGTATGAGAGATTGCCATGACTTAAGTCAGACAAAGTCCCCTCCCCCCTACCCAGGAATTCTAACTGCTATTATGTGATTTTGTGACCTCTGGGGTAGTTAACTGCATTTTTTGTGCTGCTTGGAATAGAGAAAAATCTATTCATAGAGTTGTAATATAATTACATGAGACAACACATATAAAGGGCTGACACAGTAGTCGTGGCTCAGTGAATGAATACTCCTTAGAATCCGCCCTTTCTGCTCCCTCTCCATCCTGACCCTGCTCCCTATGCCGTATTGTCTGTTCTGATCCGGCTCAATCAGAAGTTGAAATTGTTGAACTAAACTTGAAACCTTCCCATGCCTGCCAGCTCTACCTTGCTCTGCATTCACTGAATTAATAAGCAGAGAGAGTCAGGGCCTTGAATTGACTTAGATATAATACTCAGCAGGTGTATGTGGCCTGGTTCCCTTGCAGCAAATTGCTCCCCCTGGGACTAGATGGAATGAAGAATGCTCTACTCGCAGCCTCATTTTGAGTCCAGATGGAGCCTTTAGAAGATTTATTTAAATCTGTCTTTACCCTGTGTGCTTGAGAGTTGAGCCCTACATTACATGAACAGGACAGAGGAAGCAACATCCCAGTTACCATTCTGTGCGAGGTGACTTGTGCAATCATTTGTCATGAATGCCCAGGTCGCTGTCCAAGAAGAGTTTCACTTTTTAAAACATTTTCAAGATCTTTTAAAATAGTTTTTAATGTACTACCATAAACATGTTATTTTATATTTGTAAATTTTTATTGTTTTAGATGCAAAGATGGTTTGAAAGGATTTACATTTTCTGCACTTAGGTAAGTAAATTTTATTTATCTTTATGTCAAGAGAGAATTTATGAGTTGACTTTTTTCAAAAGAGAAATATTTTACATAATTACAATAAATATTCATTTTTAAAAAAAAATATTTTACTTAACTTTATGTATTTAAACTATGACCAGTGAGGGACAGAGCGAGAATGAGAGAAAGTGAGAAAGCAAGCCACTAGGTCCAGGGCTCGAACCACAGTCGGCCATGTGGGAGTCCAACACCCTTAACCATCATACCGCTTGCCGGCCCCTCAATTCAGTTTTAAACTGAAAATAATTTTAGAAGGGAACCAGCAGTTAGCATAATGGCTATGTTGCTGGACTCCCACATAGTCGACCGCGGTTCACGTCCCAGACCTGGTGGCTTAAACTCACGCCGGGCGAGTGTGCGTGCATGTCCAAGATCCCAAGAGGAGAATGGAGGAGAAGGGATTGCGGCGTGACCATCCCCCCTGGGGGGTAATTTCTCACTTTTTGTCTCTATGTCTCTCTCTGTCTGTCTGGCGAGTGCACGTGCCCTATAGCAAAAACCTCTCCAAAAAAAAAAAATTTTTTTTTTAGAACTCATGAAAGTATTTCTAAGGCTTTACAAAATAGTTCATAGAAAGTGTAACTTACCAGATTTTTTTCCCCCTAAAAATCAGTCAACTATTTCTTTTTGTACTTATTGTGTGTCTTACACTGTGGGGTGTTAGAAAGGAAATATGAAAACTCTCTTCAAAGAGCTTGGAAAGACAAAGTTGCATGTGAAAAATTACTGGAAAATGAACTACTTTATTTTGTGGTGCCAGATTATGGGTTTCTAAAGCAAGACTCATGCACTGTTAAACACATAGTGGATTGTAAGCACCATTAGACTCCTTTTAAAAAAATTTATTTCATGTGAGAAAGAGGAAGAGAGGAGAGAAAGCTAAGCACCCTCAATAGGGTCTCAGGCTGACCCTTCCCACCAGCCTCTCCCTGTCAGCCAGGGCCATGGACATGGTATACCTGGCATGTACAAGCCAACCAGGAACCAAATCCCCAATCTTCCATGTGGCCTCCAGTATTGTAGAGCATTGCACGACAGTTGTGCCATGGCAGCTGGACCATTCTTGACCCTTTTTCATGTCACCACATACATAGCCTCTTACCACAGTATCTGGCAAGTGATGCAGATTGTAAAATGTTGGTTTAACAATAGCATTGTATCTTATAGTTCACCAAGCATTTTCATATCACTTAGAAAATTAAAGTTTTGCAAATAATTCTGTGATGGTTTTTTTTTATGTCCACGTGACATGATAAATAGAGGATTAGAATGTTTGACTAATATAATTTAATATCACATCAGTAACTACACATGCTAACTCCAAACCCAGTGTTTTGCCAGTTTCGCATAACTGTTGCCTATTTTGTTCTCCATAGTACAAGCAGTAGATGTATAGTGAAAATTAATAATATAGTATTCTGCAAGTATTGGAGAAAAATTAGGGAGGACTTCAGTACTAGAAGTTTTTATATTTTTTTAGAATAGTTAATTATGAAAAGTGTTTAGAACAGTGTCTGGTACTCACTAAGTACTCAAGAATAATTACACGGAAAGAGAGAACACTCTGGGTGGAAGTGAATAAAATTCACAAAAGGATGAACTGTGGGGTGTGAGTGAGGAAATCAATTTAGTTGTTAGGGAAATTTCACATTAGGGAATATAAGGATAATTTTGATAGAGTTGGAGTCAGAAAGTACTAACTATGATGATACTCATCCATTCACTCAACATGTATTAAATACTGTGTGTCAGTCACAGCAGTAGACACTAGGAAATGCATGGTCTCACAAGCTCTACAACTTTGTAAAATGCTGCTTATAAAAGTAGTGCTGGGGGTTTGTTGGGCAATGTGAACACAGAGGAAGCTCACTAATGCCCTATACGGTGTGAGGCAGCTTCTTCCAGGAACTGACCTCTAATCTTTTTTTTTGTTTTTTGGAGAGATTTTTCGCTATAGGGCGCGTGCGCTCGCCAGACAGGCAGAGAGAGACATAGAGACAAAAAGTGAGAAATCACCCCCCAGGGGGGATGGCCACACCAAAATCCCTTCTCCTCCATTCTCCTCTTGGGATCTTAGGCACGCACGCACACTCTCCCGGCGTGAGTTTTAAGCCACCAGGTCCGAGACGCGAACCGCGGTCGACTACGTGGGAGTCCAGCGACATAGCCATTACGCTAACTGCTGGTTCCCCTGACCTCTAATCTTGAGATAGTAAATCTTGGCAAAAATAAACAATGGCAAATGTTTGGGGGGATTTTTTTATTTTTTAGAGTTTTTTTTTTTTTTTTTTGCTATAGGGTGCATGTTCTCACCAGAAAGACAGAGGGAGATGGGAGATGGAGACAGAAAGCGAGAAATCACTCCCCGGGGGGATAGCCATGCCACAATCCCTTCTCCTCCATTCTCCTCTTGGGATCTGGGGCATGCACGCACATACACCCAGCGTTAGTTTAAGCCACTGGGTCCAGGACTTGAACTATGGTCAACTACATGGGAGTCCAGCTATATAGCCATTACACCAGCTTCTGGTCCCACGAAAGTTTTTTTTTTTAAGAATCATTTTATTTAACTTTCTTTCTTTCTTTCTCTTGACTTTTTTCAAAAGAGAAATATTTTACATAATTACAATAAATATTCAGTTTTTTTAAAAAAATATTTTACTTAACTTTATTTATTTATTGATTTTAACCATGACCAGTGAGGGACCAGGTCTGGGACTTGAGCTGTGGTTGGCCATGTGGGAGTCCAGTGCCCTTAACTACCACACCACCTGCCAATTCCATGGGGGAAAAATGTTTAAATCCAAAATAATATTATGAAAAGGTATGAGGAATACTGTTGTCTGTTCTACATAGTTTTATCCTTGTTGCTCAGAAAGAGCAGTATCAACAGATCTCCATGCACATCCACTACTAAAAAATGAATTTTAGCCTAGCAGCTACCCAGGATATACAGCTGCCATTTGGTGACAAGCACGCTGCCCTGTTGTGGTTGGAGAGGCTAGATGTTGTACAGGTCCAAGTGGGATGGTTCACCGTCGTTGGCAGTAACAGCCTTTTCTATTTTCTAGTGCTCAAATTTTCATACTCTGTTTGTCACATGCCCCACATTCCAGAAGTTTAGTGTAGTATTTTTGATCTCCTGTTTTATCTATATTTCGCTGTCTTTTCTGAAAGTTCAGGAGGCAGAGTTTCTGTGGAAAAGGTTAGTTATTCTTTATAAGAGCAATGCTCTTACAGTGTAGGTGCAAACAGCAATAATGAAAACTCTGAGATAGTCTACTTCTTGAGTGATATTTAGGGGCCAGGAATTTCCTCTTCTTTGAATACTGAAAATCTCTGACAATGGGCAGATTAATAAGAGAAAAAGCATATAAGTTGTCTTCAGTGTACACATGTGTACAGGAGAGCCATAGAAAATAGGAACCCAGAGAGGACATAGAGGCTTGAGGCTTAAATATTTCCTCATAGCGAAGAGGAAAATAGGTAGCGCAGGCAATTTTAGAGTAAAAGATTTTTAGGGGGAAAGATGTGTCTAGTGCTCAGACAATGGTGAATAAAAGAGCCTTTTTGGAAGTGGGATGTGCATGGGAGTCGGACAATAGCTACAGACAAAATTTGTCCAGGCATGTTGACATTCCTCCTTCCTGAGGTGTGAGCTTAATGAAACCACTGGGAAGGGGCATGGAGCAGGGTAACAGGCTAATGGTTCTCTTTGGCAGGACTCCTATTTAGGCAGGTAATGGAATAGCAGAGCTGAGCCCTTTCCTGCAGTTCAGTAGAGAAAGAGAATCTAAGATGACAGAGAAATGGTACGGGCAGGAGTACGTCACAGAGAGGCAGACCTTGGTTCTGAGGCAGCATATCAAAGCTCCGGGGTTGGGGTAAATTTCTGAGTCCAGACAATGTCTAGTGATGGGAACATTATTCTTTGTATTGTCTTTGGGAAAAGAGTTCAGTTTTGTTGTGATAGGAATGGTGTCTTCTCCTGGACATTTGATTATTCTTCCAAGAGCAGTAAGGAGATTAGAGTAGCATTGTGCTTATTAGGATTTTCCAGTGAAATAAGCAGAGGGTCTTGACTGTGTTTTGAGTCTCACTTCATAGTTCCCTGTTGCCCTGTGTGTACACAGATGACTTCCTGCCACTGTGCAGCTATTCGTGACTCACGCAAAGTGATATTGGGTAACATTTAGAGTTTTACTCTAAATGAGAAACCCATTCCATTGTCATTCTTAGAATGGAATTTAGGAGAAAAAGAATGATTTTTACAATAGACTGGTAGACTCAATTTCACCTGCTTCTGTTGAAACATAAGCTAGTAGATCCAAGTTCACTGGCATCTTTTGAAAAACATTAAGATATGTAATACTTCAAAGTGATATCCTAAGTTAATGGGCACTTCCTAAAAGTACAGAGCTGTATTTTATTGGTTAATTTTATTTTAAGGTGCCTACATTGTCAAATGAAAACTGTTGAAGTTTTCCTGAGTGTAGTTGGCCCTCTATATCTGTGGGTTCCTCATTGGGGGTTTCAACCAATTCCTGATAGAAAAATATCAAAAAGGGGCCAGACAGCGACACAGTGGCAAAACACAACATTCTTTTTTTTTAATTATTTATTTTATTATTTATTATTATTTTTGAATTTGCTATAGGGCATATGCACTCACTAGAGAAAGAGAGAGGGAAAGTAAGAAAGCAAGATGCCAGGTCCAAGACTTGAACGCAATTTTAGAGTAAAAGATTTTTAGGGGGAAAGATGTGTCTAGTGCTCAGACAATGGTGAATAAAAGAGCCTTTTTGGAAGTGGGATGTGCATGGGAGTCGGACAATAGCTACAGACAAAATTTGTCCAGGCATGTTGACATTCCTCCTTCCTGAGGTGTGAGCTTAATGAAACCACTGGGAAGGGGCATGGAGCAGGGTAACAGGCTAATGGTTCTCTTTGGCAGGACTCCTATTTAGGCAGGTAATGGAATAGCAGAGCTGAGCCCTTTCCTGCAGTTCAGTAGAGAAAGAGAATCTAAGATGACAGAGAAATGGTACGGGCAGGAGTACGTCACAGAGAGGCAGACCTTGGTTCTGAGGCAGCATATCAAAGCTCCGGGGTTGGGGTAAATTTCTGAGTCCAGACAATGTCTAGTGATGGGAACATTATTCTTTGTATTGTCTTTGGGAAAAGAGTTCAGTTTTGTTGTGATAGGAATGGTGTCTTCTCCTGGACATTTGATTATTCTTCCAAGAGCAGTAAGGAGATTAGAGTAGCATTGTGCTTATTAGGATTTTCCAGTGAAATAAGCAGAGGGTCTTGACTGTGTTTTGAGTCTCACTTCATAGTTCCCTGTTGCCCTGTGTGTACACAGATGACTTCCTGCCACTGTGCAGCTATTCGTGACTCACGCAAAGTGATATTGGGTAACATTTAGAGTTTTACTCTAAATGAGAAACCCATTCCATTGTCATTCTTAGAATGGAATTTAGGAGAAAAAGAATGATTTTTACAATAGACTGGTAGACTCAATTTCACCTGCTTCTGTTGAAACATAAGCTAGTAGATCCAAGTTCACTGGCATCTTTTGAAAAACATTAAGATATGTAATACTTCAAAGTGATATCCTAAGTTAATGGGCACTTCCTAAAAGTACAGAGCTGTATTTTATTGGTTAATTTTATTTTAAGGTGCCTACATTGTCAAATGAAAACTGTTGAAGTTTTCCTGAGTGTAGTTGGCCCTCTATATCTGTGGGTTCCTCATTGGGGGTTTCAACCAATTCCTGATAGAAAAATATCAAAAAGGGGCCAGACAGCGACACAGTGGCAAAACACAACATTCTTTTTTTTTAATTATTTATTTTATTATTTATTATTATTTTTGAATTTGCTATAGGGCATATGCACTCACTAGAGAAAGAGAGAGGGAAAGTAAGAAAGCAAGATGCCAGGTCCAAGACTTGAACCACTGTCAGCCATGTGGGAGTCCAGTGCCTCTGTCACCACACCACCTGCTGCCTGGTGTAAAACACAACATTCTGTGAGGCAGTCCCTCATAGGAAGGTTCCTGGTTCAAGTACAGAGACTTTCCTGATGATGTCAGGTACATGCGTGCCTATGATCTGGGGCTTCATGAATGTTGGGGGTACACCATGGCATCAAGATCTTGTTGAGAGTATTTGGCTGTCTCTCTTTCTCACTAATGGGAAAAAGAAATACATGAACTTTAACTTTAAAAAATGCAATAAAAATACAAACAGTATAAGTTATTTACATAGCATTTGTGTTGTGTTAGGATTATAAACAGTCTAGTGATGATCTAAAGTATACAAGAGGACGTGCATATTTTATATGCAAATACTATTCCATTTTATATAAGGGACTTGAGCTTCCTTGGAATTGGGCATCTACGCAATTCCTGGAACCAGTCTCCCACAGATATCAAGGAACTGACTCTGTTCAGATTTTGAGCATCTCTTTTTCTTCAGAAGATAATTAGATTTTATGTAAATTGTAAAAATACTATTTTGAATGAAATATTCTGCAAATATATTCATACAAAAGCAAAACCTTTTTGCTTATTGATATTTTTAAAGGTGAGAAATATGTCACTTTGGGCTTTTTTTCTTTAGGTTCATTGTTGGGAAGGAAGAAATTCCCACACATTCTTATTCACCAGAGGCAGCATATGCAAAAGTGGAGCAAAAGAGAGAGAAACATGAGGAAAAACCAAGACATCTGAATATAATTGCTCTGATGAGGAAACTTGTGGATTCAGTGTGAGTTCTTTATCTTGATATTTTTACATGCTTGGTCACTATTTTATGTAATACTTACAATGTGCCTAGGTATTTTGTTTTCTATTCAGGTAATTTTGTTTGTTTGTTTTAAACCCAGAAACTATGCATGGAAGCTTGTAAAAGGTATCCTATGGCAAGTGAATGTCATTATTTCTGACAAGAGTGTAGACCATCACATGTTTTCAGATTTGCATGAAACTGAAATGCTTTCCTATTTTGAAATAGGCAGATTTTATGGCTATAATGGTGAACTTCAGGAAACAGATTAATAATGTGCTAATTGAGGGTGCTTAGTATGGACAGGAGAGAGAAAACTCAGAGATTCCAGAAGATAAAGGAATAATAGGCGCGAACCTTAAAGGACATTTTGTAAGAGTGAAACATTTTCAGATTCTGAAAATGCAATATGACATCTTTATTTGTATATTCTATAGTCTTTATGTTTTATATAAGTGAGTCTTCATTTATATTTCCAGTATAAATGCTTAAGAAAATTAATTTAATGGTTTAACATTAGGAGAGTAGCTAATAAAAATATCCTTGGTAGTGATATTTCAGAGGGTAGAAAGTAAGTGGTCAATATGGAAAGTTAGGACCAAAATTATAGGGAGCTGTGGGCCTTCAAGAGATCAAACAACCTATTAGCCTCTGCCAGCTTTGTGACTTTGGACAGGTGACTTAACCACTATGAATCCCAAATCCTTATCTGTTAATTAGGGTTAATCTCTATTAAGGATTGTTGTGAACATTAAATGAGATAGTATATATGAAATTGCCTGACATAACATATAGGCATCTTCTGAGTACCCAGATTTTTACCCAATTTTAATATTTTCTCTTAGTATACACCAATGCAGGAGGTAAGAGTAAAGGAAGGGATAGGAGGTGACAGGAATAATTATACAGTGCACTTACTGTGCAAGTTCAAAAGTAGTTATGGGTTACCTTAGTAGAGAAAAAGGAGAGAGGATCTCTCTCAGATAATTTCAGCAAGAATAAGAGGGAAGGGAGAGGAAGAGTAATGTAGGACATCGATGACTTGGGCTTCAGAACTAATGAGGTCATGGCAGAACTATCAGAGGAGCCTCAATGGCTCCACTGGGTGTGAAAGCAAATGATACAGGAAGTAGGCAGTCGAGGACTTGGGAAACTATTTCAATGAGTGGCTAAGGAAAGGTTAAATGACAAAATAGTTGATATCAGGATTTAACTCCACTAGCAGAGTTTAATAATGTCTGTATAGTCCTGAAGCACTGTCAGGGAAATGTCTTTGAAGAGCATACTTAGAAATGTGGAGAGTGCTGGTTTGCGAGGCTGTCCTTTTCTGAGTTACCTCTGCCAGGCCTCCAGCTTTCATCATTCAGCAACTTCACATAACCAGATATGTCCTATCATTCTAATGACATCAGGGCCAGGACTGGTAGGAACTGTTGCTGTCACCCTTAACTGGGGCAGACTGCTTGTGTACTCCAGCTGCAGTGTGGAATTAGATTTTGGAACAAGCCTTGGTAATCAGTTTGCCAATGGGATTGGAGAGGTGCGTCCAGAACACTGCCGTTCATGTTAGCATTATAACG